AGATCAACCCTAAAAAATTAGCTTAAAGATGACAAAGGATAAGCTCTAGACCATCAATAATGGTGTTTTTTCTTTTAAAAAAACCGAAACACTTGAAATGATTATGGGGACGGCGAATCGTTTTTCTTCAAATACTTGAAATAATAAGAGGAACAAATAATTCATCCAATTTTTTTAAAAAAATTTAAATCGAGAAGACCACTACTATTGGTAGTAGTCGAGAGTGAGCAATCGAAAATAATATTTTATTACAGTGAGAGTCGACTTACGTACAAATAATTCAGATATGATTGATTAAAAAAAAACCAATCAAAATAAAAAAACGATTTGAAAATAATAAGAGGAAGAAAACTCAATATCATCAAAATTAAAATTAAAAACAAATCATATATCAAACATAAACCTTGCACAACAAAAAAAAAACCCCACATCTACAAACAAATCAACTACGATAACAATCAAATATTTATCAAATTATGATAAAAAATTCATAGATCAAATTCACACGAAAGCAAAGGATCAAACAAATATTAGGGTTTTGGATTTATCAATTACGAGATTAATACAAAACTAAAATAAATATCAATTAAATAAAACTACTACGAGATTTTAGATGTATCATACACAGATACAAAAGCTATAAACAACACAATATATATATATATATATATATCAAATAAAAAGGATAAAACTAAATCATAAGAAGGAGAATGGTCTATACCGAGAAAATCTGATGAGAGAATCAAAATAATGAGAAGAACAAGAAGAGTTCAAAGGATTGCAGACTTGAAATGATTATTGTCTGAGAGATTTGTGAATGGGGAAGATAAGGGGTTGGTATGCTTATATACAATGAATTGTGAGGTGTTCTAAGGGATGGATTCTATAATTGCATAAGATTTTCAAGCATAGCTTGAAACCATAAATGCACTTACAAGAACCAAAAATTATTGTAGTAAGAATACCAAAACTGGGTTTTCCATAAAATCCAATTGCATACTTCCTAAGTAAACACAGCCTATAATTTACTGTCTCGTTTTATCTCTTGCTGCAGTTTTTTTTATTTTATTTGTGCAGTATTAGGGTTCTTCTTTTATGTTCCTTTTGTTAATTGATTCATGGAGAACATTTTAAATTCTCGTTATTTTAATTTTATAATATTTAAAATTTAATTAATATGTCCGTTACTTATTAATTAATCGTTAAAATTCGTTATTTTTATAATTTAATAATTTATATTTCTATCTTATATAAAAATTATAATAATTAATTATACTTTTTTTTTTGGGGTAATCGAATTATTCTAATTTTATTAATAGAAGTATGATTGTTAATCATGATACACACATCTACTTATAATTAATTAAACTCACTATTTAACTAGTTAATTCAATTATATTATTTTCATGTATGCTTATAACACCCATCTTATTGAAGCTTATTTTGCAGCTTTTTTTTTTTTTTGTGGGTTCTTTTTCCATTCTTTTACATATTCAACTGTCCTATTCGTTACCCAATATTATTTTCAGTGTGACCAAATTGAATATTTATTAAAAAATAATGAAAACCATGTTAGAAATACAGGGGGCCAAATGAGATGTGCATATACACCCACACTATAGAGATTGCCACAAGCAAATTTGGATTGTTTTTGGAAAGCTTTATAGTTATGTAAAAATTAGATACCTTCCTATTTTTTTTGAAGATAATATACTTAAAAATTCACAGAATCCGAAGCACTAAAAAGCATTCAGAGGTTAAGTTTTTTGCTAAAGGCAAGAAATCTCCCTCTGGGTTGGTCCTAAAATTTGTGGATGCTCCTCATAAATATAAAATCTCCTTAGAATCAAGAGGCTTTGTTTTGATACCCATTTGATGGATATGCATTTCTCAATATTTGCTAATTTTTAATGCTTATCTGAAAAATTTATTGATTATAATAATAAGGGATTACTTTCTTATTGTGCAAATTTTCTAAATTTTAAATTTGAAGTGCCTGTTGATATTGATAAATCTATTGAAATCTAAAATGTTATATCGATACTTATACTACGATTAAGTTGGTTAAAATATGAATAAGTTTAGCGTGATAATGAAATATACCAACGACAAAATAGTTTAATAGTTAAAGTATTTGTGTTTTATTTAAAGATCATGAGTTTGTACTGATAATGTATCGAGTTATAATGTTTAATTTATTTTAACTGAGAGTTTGATTCACTAGTGATTTGTCGTGATTAAAATGATTAAGTTGGACTAGATTTCAACAAGTCTATTACGTTTTTGAATCAAAAAAATATATTTTGTAGCAGTTAAGTTCATTTAGTTAAAGTAATTACAATAGTTAAAAATTTGATATAATTTTTTTTTTAAATTTTTTTTAAAAAGAATGATAATAAAATATAATATAAATTTGTGCAAGTCTATTATATTTTGATCGAAAAAGATAACTAGATTTTTTTCAAGTAATCACTTCATAGTTTTTGACGTGAAAATTATAGTTGATGAATGCTATGGTTTCCTAAAACGAACTACAATAAGTTACCAAGTTTATTAATATTATAAGCGTCGACAAAAGACGATTTCATAGATAAAGATGGTAATAGGACGAAATCATTCGTCACTTCAGTCCCAAGAAATTTTATCCTTTTACATTAAAAATGATATCTAAGAGGAAATATACTTGGTTATAAAAATATTGAATGAAGTGAGCTAAACAATTATCGTACGAGTTGAGTGTCTTTTTTTTACTCGTTCTATGATTTAATTGGATAAAAGAGTTTTAATTATTTATTAACTTATAATAAATAATTAAATTATGATATCTTGTTGCTGTCTCTGAGTATATTAGATAATTTATCGACGTTATATTCGATTTTAATTATGTAAATATAATAAAAACGTAATTCATTTAGAAACGATACATATTTTAGAATTTTAAAAAACTTACATCATATAAAACTAACATATTCTTATGATGTTTGCTTTAACTTTTCAAATGGGGATAAGTATTAGCAAGTACAGAAAGTTGCAAATTGCAAAACACAATCTGCTTATTTATTCTAAGGAGATTACATAGACAGTATTCAATAAATTTTGAGGGGGGGGATGAACGGAGATTTCATGCCTTTTCTGAAGAAACTTACCCAAATCTCATTCATTTATTGGATTTGTGTATTTTGAGATTATATTATCTTAAATTAGGCACATTTAATGCAAAAATCTTCAAAAAAAAAGTACTTAATCTTAGATAACCATATATAAATTTGGTTTCCGGTTTAGGTTATTAACCAAAATAATCTAAATTTACCCCCCCTCTTCTAATTATAACATAGTTTTTATCTTTTAATTAAAACTCAATTTGGTCAGATTGCACATAACATTAGAATGAAAATATGACACTTTGAATGTCTAAAAGAAAAAGAAATTAAGCAAAATGGGTGTTTTAAGAATTAATTATACATAGATTTCCATATTATATATTGTTTGTTCAAAGGTTTAAATGAAAATTTGTATTGTTGACTAAAAATCTAATTTAAATTTTCAGTTTTTTTTTTTTAAAGTTCGACCATCAATTCAAATTATTATGTTTTCACTACAATAATGTGATATATATGTTTTGATTTGGATGAATATATATTGCATTGGATAAATTAATTAAAATAGTATGGAATTAACTAATTAAATAGTGACTTTAATGAATGGTAATCATTCTGTGTCTCAAGAATCGAAATTTTATTAATAAACTTAAAATAATTCGATTACCGAAAAAATATATATAATTAATGATTATTATCTTATATAAGTTATGCAAATAATTTATTAAATTATTAAAAATAATGAATTTAACGATCTTAACGAACTTAACAGTTAATTGATAAATAACGGTCTTATTAACTAAAATTTAAATACGTGTTATTAATGAATTCAATAAAATAAAAAACACAATAGTGCATATGGTGAAGTGAGATTGTAATTATTTCTATAAAAACTCACTTTCAAAGAGAGAAAGTAAGTAGAGCAGAGAGAGAACAAAGGGCATGTATCAAAAACTGGCAAATACATTACATAATAAGAGCTATTGGGTAAGACATTATACCCCATTGCCAGTATATTTGTTTATTTTTAAGCGCATTTATGATTTGAGCTATCATTGGAAGTTTTTAGGAGACAAGATTACTATCCATTGATTCTATCTCAAAAACCACCCAATTCATTGCATAATCTCACCAACCCCCTCTACTTCCAATTTATATATAACTCTGTGATAGAATTCATTTTCAGTCTGTGCTTGAGAAATCTTACTGATCCTTCTCACAATTTCGCTTCTCTTCACCCTACTGGTATAAACTGTTCTCATTCTTTTTGTTTATTGGTTTTTTATGGTTGATATATGTATAATTCTTTATATCTCATATATTTATTTTTTATGTAACTGTAATCCTTTTTCTGTAATATATTTATTCTACGTACATCTGTATTTTTTTATCTGTTATATATCTATAAATCTTTTATCTGTAATATACTTATGATTCATATATTTATAATATTACATCTATGATATCTGTATTTTATATGTGATTTATTTATGTTTTATGTATTGATAATATGTCTTTATTTTCTTATCTGTATCTATATAAGTGTGTATACGCATGTTTGAATTTAAGATCTAAGTGATGTTCATTGTATTTTTTACCAGGAATTTGATTTATCTTTCCCCTTCGTTGTACGTTACTTTGGGTTTTGATAAATCTAAATCTTTTGCGTACATTTGAGTGGTTGATTTTTTTTTAATTTTTAAATGGCGACTTATACATATCTATGTGTGGTTTGTTTTTAATCTTAGTTTACTCGTGTTGTGATTTTCTTATTATTTTTTGTCAGCTAATCGTATTTGAATTATTTTGTACAGAGCTTGATGGTTGAATGAACGTTATAATTCCCCGCCCCTTGCTTTGCTTTTTAACATGATAGTAACAATGGTGGTTTCCTCAGTTCAAAAGTTTTTCTCTTGATTTTCTTTTTCAATCCCTATTCTTAAATCCTTCGTCGTCACCAAAATCATTTCAAGTATTTGGACTTAGAAAATTTACTTGTGATTTCGTGTTTAGACGTTAAATTTTCGGGTTTCATTCTCGTTCTTGTCTTTCAAATACACGTAAATTTCGATTGGTCATCGTTTTTTTTCTTTCTT